TCACACCCAACTCAGTGTCTCTGCAATATTCATTCACCATATTCTGATCCAAGGAAGTTTTGTGTATGTCTGTATATTCAGATGCTTAGTATTGCATTCCCAGTTGTTTGCTATTGACAAAACTAAATTCACATGGATCAGTTTGCATTGATTTCCTCACCTTTTTTACCTCCCAGTTGTAGTGTCAGCCCTGTGGAAGGTGATTGGTGAAGTGAACTAATTAAGTACTGCCTTGCCAAAAAGAAGTTTGAGTGGTCCAGAGCTGATTTGGAATTCTTCAGCCACATTTCCTTCTGCTCAGTACAGGAAAAAATAGCAGTTGTTTTCCAGTGCACATTTGCAGAACCTGTTGCAAAAAAAAAAAAAGGAAAGCTTGGGATTTAAGATCAGTGTTTGACTTATGGGGCACTTCTAATGGAAGGAAAAGGAAAGAAAGAAACAAATCCTTCTTCAAGGAGGTGTCCAGCAGAGGGAGAATCCAATGTGTTCATGGGCAGGATGCACAGACGTGGGAGGTGGATGGTGCTGGAGGGTGGTGCAGCTTGAGGTTCATTCATGCTCCTGCACATGGAGTGGAAGCTTCTGGTTTGGCCAAAGGACAATCCCAGATGAGCTGCTCAGGAGCAGAGGCCTCATTCCCTGGAGCATGTAAGAGAACAAATGGAATATTCATAGGAAGATAAGAACTTGTGGCTCTGTGTATCTCTTCCCAATTAGTGAATTTCAGTGGTAGTGAGTCAGGAGTGACTTGTATGAGAACTCTGGTGGTTTGATGTTGCACTGCAGAGGTGTCTCAGTTGTTGAAGAAACTCTCTCCCATCCTACATTAGTGCATTGAGGGAACAGGCCCTGATTTCAATCGTTTTGGACACACAGAGGGATTCCCAGAGGGTTGGGGAGCAGCCAGAACCAATCCTGTCGGCCCTTGATACAAGGCTGCTCTTCATGATGTGCTGCTTTTTGCAGAGTTTGAAGCCTAGTCTTGTAGCCATCTCCCCTGTTACACTGCTCACTCATCCTTTACCTCCTGATTCCAGCCCAGAGCTGCTGGAATGAGGCTGTGATGGTTTGAAGTGATCTGCACCGAGGTGTGACCCCAGGTAACAGACTCCTAAACACTGCCCTGGCTGTGAGTAACATGTTGGTACTAGAGCACATTGCAGGAGAGATCTGCTCCATAAGGACAAAATCCCATTTTTCCCATGCTGACAGAGGCAACTTTCTTTTGTATCTAGTGCTTAAAAAGAAACAAGAGTTGAAGCTAGGCTGCATTTGCATAAGGCCATGTGAAAGGCAGTGTTTTGTTAGGCTGCTGGGCTGACAAGGCTCAGTTTTGTCAGGAACACAAGGGCTGCCCAGCATCTCTGGCATTTGGGAATGAAAACTGCCCTGCCCCTTCCCTTCTGAGCTGCTCCAGAGGTTTTGTTATGCTAAGCAGTGCAAAGAATGACACTTTCTCTGTGCTGCTGTTGCTTAAATCTACCTTTTTGTTTGCCTTCAACTTTAATTTGCTCTTTCGAGCCTGTGCCCAAGGTACAAAGATGGGGAAGGTAATAATGAGATGTAGGGGTTGCCTGGGTGAGAGGGTGGAGGTTTTTTGCCTTGAAATGTAGGCAGTGCTGCTCTCTCTGGCTGCACGTGGGTTGGTGGAGGTTAGTCAAGTCCTAGTCAAGAGAAACTAGATCCTTCCGTGCCGTGTGTTGCATATGGACTCGTTTAGGGAGGTTTGCCAGAGCGAAGCTGCAGCCCAGGTTTGCAGACTGACTGCTCATCAGCCATCAGCAGGATTCTGCTCAAACCAAGAGTAGTGTTTGAAAAAGTTTCTTTTCCTCCTCTTCAGAGTGTTTTGGGATTTCTCTGTGATGTTCTCTACTTTCTTTGTGTCTTACTGCTCTGCTCAGAAAGCGAAGATTGAGGAACTGCCCATTTCCTCTAGCTATTTGTAATGCATCTGTGTTTTCCTTCTAGAGCGGCCTATTTTCTCCTTTTAGTGTTCCACACAGGGCAGAAACCAGTCCAGCCAGCCTGGCTTTGTTGCAGGTTGCTGCTGTATTTGCTCTGCTTCAGGTGTGAGGTGGTGAAAGCATTCAGCTCCTCAGGAGGGACTCAGTACCTTGCAGAGTGACTTCTTCCCTCCCCTCCCCTCCTCTGCCAAGCAGAAGCTTTTGGTGCAGCAGTTTCCTGAGCATTCTTGAAATGTGAAACAAGTGGGAAAACAACCTTTGTTTCTCTCTTTTCCTCAGCAGCCTGTGTCCTAGGCTGGTACATCTTACCCTGCTGCTGTGTTTGAAAGAGATGGGCACTAAAAGCAGTGAGGAGTTGAAGTTGCAGGTTTGGGCTGTGCATTGACAGGGATTCCCTTCATTTGACATCCACTTGTGAAGCTGCCTCTGCCCAAAGCAAGCTTTGGGAAGAACTCAGACTGTCTGGATGAGGTAACAGGCTATTTCAGTCTAAGCTCTAAGTGATGCAGCAGCCTTGCCCTCTCTGAGAGCTGCTCTTGAGCATCTTCACTGCTTCAGGGAGTTAAACTGAGGAGTGTTTCCCACTTTTCTCTCTCCCTGCATAGTGCCAGCTTGACTCCTTGCTGCAGGTTTAGGTGGGGAATGTTGCCAGGCAGGTGTGGGTGTGCATGGCTGAAGGAAGAAGGTGAAATGCAGAATTAAAGCAATCCTGAGTTAGACTTCACCTGTCATGGAGAGAGTCAGACCCCACAACCCATCAGAGAGAGCTGCAGCTCTGGCTCTCAGTGCTGATCTCTGCAGTGTCCTGTGTGATCCCTTACTTGTGCATACTTTGCCTTGTGGCTGGGATGTGGTGCAGCTCCTGGGATCACACCTGGGCTGTGTCAGGCAGAACACACCTGCCTGCCTGCCTGGCTGCCTGCCCAGAGACCAGGAAGGGGCTTTTTGGCACTGGCAGGTTCAGCTGCAATTCTCTGTGTGTTTTACTGGTCTGATTGAGATAAATGATACAGACAGAGTGCTTCAGGAATTCAAGACTGGGGTGCGGGAGGCAGTGAGGGCTGGGAGGATGGTCTGGAAGCAGAACTGTCCCGTGGTGGATTGGAAGTAGGGAGATGGGAGCTTGGTTGGCTGGTGTGGACACAGGCTCTTAGCTCTGCATGGGGAATGGGGTCACTGGGGAAATTGCACTGATGAGAAAAGATGTGCTGGAGAGGAAATGTTTTAATTGTTGCTAAACTTCAAAGGGAAAGGTGAGTGTGCAGTGTGAAGCACTGACACTTACTAGGTGTGGAACTCCTGCTTTCCAGGCTTTGAGAAAGCATTTCTCCAAATTCCTAGGAGACTAAAATTTAGTGAGAAACTGATGGAAGATACTGCCTGTTAGTTTCATCACAGAATCAGAGAATGGTTTGGGTTTTCACCCCCTACCATGAGCAGAGACACCTTCCACCAACCCAGGTTGCTCCAAGCCCCATCCAGCCTGGCCTGGAACACTCCCAGGGATGGAGCAGCCACAGCTGCTCTGGGCAACCTGTGCCAGTGCCTCAGCACCCTCCCAGGGAGGAATTCCTTCCCATTATCCCATCTAGCCCTGCTATCCTGCATTTTAAAGCCTTTCCCCCTTGTCCTGGCACTGTCTCCCTGTGTGAAAGGTCTCTCTCCCTGTTTTTTCCAAGCCCCCTTTAGGTCCTGGCAGGCCACCTTCAGGTCTCCCCAGATTCCATTGCTGACATTCCCATTTGTACTGTCAATATCTGAACTGAACTCTATTCCCTCTGCTTGGAATATTGTGTGTCCGCCTTGTCCAGCTGTTCTCTCGGCATGTGCATATATCCCCGAGCCTGGATAGTATTTAACTGGGAGCACTGGAGAAAGAGCTGTGTGAGAGCAGACAAAATGGTACTGATTACAAATCCAGTATGGTTTTGTCCTGAGGCTATGAAGCTGGGATTAATTTTTCCTGCTGCAGGGAAGGAGTGCTTACTCCACCACTAATTGCTAGTGACACCCAGGGCAACCTCCAGGGTCCTGCCCTGTGTGCAGCCTGACCTTGGAATGTGTGCCACAGGGAACAGCAGCAGCTCCAGGAGGTTTAATATCAGAGCATGTGTCTCAGTTAGGGAAATCACCTTAGTCCTCTGTACTGGATAGTCTTGTGGCTCTTTCAATCTCTAGGTTTATTAAAGTGTTCAGAGAGCATGGGGTAGAGAGAGAATATTAGTGTTGTTGGGTGTGCAGGTGTCATCTCACTATGTGTGAGGGACAGCAGCTTTTCCTGGGCGGAGCATGAGAGGACAAGAGGAAATGCTTTTAAGCTATAAAATAGAAGATATTTAGATTGGATAGTAGGAAGGAATTGTTCCCTGTGAGGATGATAAGGTGCTGGCACAGATTGCCCAGAGAAGCTGTGGCTGTCTCATCTCTGGAAGTGTTCCAGGCCAGGTTGGATGGGGCTTGGAGCAACCTGGGGTGGTGGAATGGCAGGGGGTGGCACTGGGTGATCCTTAAGGCCCTTCTGACCCAAAGCTTCTGTTTTTCTGTGCTCTCATTACCTCAGATCTAATGCTCTAGTGCTTATATGTCTCTGGCTGAAGAAATGAGCGGTTCCAGGAGGAATTACCTGTGCTTAACAGCTGATAGTCCCAAGCACTTTTGTGTGAGTGAGCACAGTTGTAAGTGAGAGCAGAACCAGAGCTGTGATTTCCAGGAGCAGACAGGGAGATGTTCAGGAGAGCCTGCATTGACTCTCCTGGAGGATTGTATGAAAAGTGGTGTTTCCTTTCATTACATTCCAGCTCTTACCTGTTGCATAGGCTGCAGCACCTCTGAAGTTGGTGTTTTGTAAGACCTTGAAGCACTCAGTGAGTGCTGATGTGCAACAGATTGGTCTCCAGATCTGCCATTGCCTTAATGGACTTGAGGAAGTATTGGCATCAACATTCAGCTGCAAGTGGAGCTGATGGTACTGAGTTGGTTGTTCCAGTGTGTTTGGTCCTGTTCCTCCCTGTATTACTCTTCCCTTTCTCCTTACAGGTCTCGATGCAGAGTTGTCCTATGTGAGGAATGATGTGGTTAATCACTATGCCTTGTCCTTCAATCTCCTAATACCCAGCGAGACCAACAACCTGCACTTCACCTGGCATGCCAAATCCAAGGTGAGCAGGAAGGACTTGCCTTTGCCTCAGACATGGGCTGTGCTGCTAGTGAACACCCACCAGTGCCATTTATGTGGGTTTTTTTCTTTGCAAAGGTCAGCATATGGTAGATGCAAAATAGTTACTGATGTTTGCAGGCAGTAAATCAGGCTGATATACATCCAGGCTGTTCCTTTCTTATTTTAGAAAGTTTTAGCACTTCTTTTCAAGTGTTTTATTCTTGCTCCTGGCAAGGCACGTGTGTATATATACAAGCTACTGGCTGTGGAATCTCTCCTGTGGTGCACTGGACACTCAGAAAGGGGCAGCCATGCACTGGAGCCTCTGGAAGTCATATATAGAGAGCAATTGTTGTGGAGATTTCAAGAAACGTGCTTGGAGACAAGGCGAACCTATAAAAGCAGCATCTAGTGTGCCATTACCAAGCCCTGATTAAATGCAAAGGGGTTTTATTTCACTTAATCACTGTGGCTGGAGCATGCAGCAGCAGCTGTCACAAAGGCTGTTTGCTCTTACATTTTGAAGCATTTCCAGTTACTTAACAATTTATTTTTGTGTATGAAATGATCTGTTTAGTCTCTGCCAGATGTTCATGGGGTTTTTCTTTAAACTTAAGTGCTGGTTGTTCTTCTGCCCTTAAGCAGAAAAGGCTACAGTAGGAACAGGAACATTAAACAACTCCCTGAGTGCAGTTCCTGAAGATTCCTCATGTCACTTTTATTCCCTCGAAGGTGCAACTTAAGGGAAGTGCATTTTGACTTGCAGTGGTGCTGGGCAGAGTGCCAGGCAGCCCTGCCACCTGGGAGTGTTCCACTGCACAGGGGACAGCTCAGCCACTTCCATTTCATAGAGTCACAGGGTGTTAAGGGGTTGGAATGGAGCTTAGAGATCATCCAGCCCCAACCCCCTGCCCTGGACAGGGACACCTCCCACCAGAGCAGGTTGCTCAAGGCTCATCCAACCTGGCTGTGAACACTGCCAGGGTTGGGGCAGCCACAGCCTCCCTGGGCAACCTGGGCCAATGTCTCACCACCCTCACAGCAAAAACTTCTGCCTAAGATCTAGCCTAAATTTCCCCTCCTTCAATTTGAACCCATTGCCCCTTGTCCTGTCACTGCAGCTCCTGACTAAGAGTCCCTCTGCAGCTTCCCTGGAGCCCCTTCAGCTCCTGCAGGTTGCTCTGAGGTGTCCACACAACCTTCTCTTCTCCAGGCTGAACAGCCTCAACTCCCTCAGCTTGTCCTTGTGGGGAAGGTGCAATTTGAATAAGAGTTTCCTTGTTACAGCTTCAGCCATGAGCTGCATCACTGTCCCTGCCCTGAGCTTCTTTGGGCCTGGCTGTGAGTTCAGAGTAGGAGTGTTTGAGGCTATGCTCCCATCCTGGTGCTCCCATCCAAGTACTCCCATCCCTTCCATTCTAGCTCAGTGAGATGGATGTAATGCAGTTGGTGGGAGCTCAGGAACTAAGTTGTGTCTCTATCCTTGGCATCCTGACTTAGAAAGAAATGGATATCATAAATGAACCATCTTACGTTTTAGACGGGAGAAAAAATAAACTATTGGGCCAAGTCAAACAAATCCATTCCTAACCCTGTGAAGGGTTAGGCTGAATTTCCAATGGGAGCTTATGACTTCCAGTAGGTCCTGCACTTTTTTTGGAATGAATGTTTGCAGAATCAGCTGCTCAAGTGGAAACAAAATCTTAACTACAGTTGACTAAACTATTTCTAAGCAGTTTTGTTTGTCAAACTGACCAGAGGAGAGGGAATTTCTGGAATTCCTATGGCTTGACCAAACTGCCTTTGGAACAAGTCAGTTTCAAAGTATCAACAAGTGAGGTTTGTGGTTGGTTTTATTTAATACAGCACTATAAATTCTGCCCTGAATTTTCTAGAGTGATTTAAAGAGCAGATTCTATTTTGGCTGATACCTAAACTTCCCATAAGGACTTGGCCTGTGGACACCTAAACCCTCTTGGGAAATGAGGCACAGATTGAACTCCCAGAAGATTGAGGAAAAGATATGTTGCTTTTCTTTGTACTAGTGACATTTCTGATGTGTTTTCTCTCTCTGTTGTTGCAGGTTGAGTATAAACTGGGATTTCAGGTCCATGATCCTGTGGCTATGGCTCTGCCCCAGGCCAACATTTCCCTGCAAGGAGAAGTTCCTCGCACTGTCTCAGGTGAACTCCTCCTCCCCAGCCTGTCCTGCTGCTGCTGCTGGGACTGTGGTTGGTTCCCAAACATGTATACTGACGTGTCAGGGTGTCATTTATCTCTGTTCAACATGTTTCCAGGCCTTCTGCAGCTCTTCTGGCATTGTTAAAAAGGTGTTAGAGCTTGAGACCTCTAATCTGAGAGGAGTGTTTATCCTCCTTTAGTGAAGGATGAAGATTCCCTTGGAAATGTGATGTGTTTGTGTATGTGCACACACAGAGGTTGCTGCTCTCTTTCAGCAGGGATCATTTTACAATCCAAGCCTTGTCATTCCTCCAGCCTAGGGAGGTGACATTCCTAGGTTTTGTTAAGCCATTCAAGGTGTTAAAACTGAGAAAAATGAATGGTTTTAAGAATGAATAAGTAAAGGTTCAAACTGAGCAAACTGTTCGGAATGTAAACTAGTTCCTCCATGGAATTGCTGCTAGTAACTCTTGCATGTTTCAGAAATCTGCAGGTGCTCATCATTTGTGTGTTCAGGTGTGTGTCCTCAGTGTCTCCTGCTCCCTTAGGTACTTAAAGGGCAAGAGAAGATATATCTATGTGTATAGAGAGAAGAGAATGAGGTTTTGGTTGAGAACCACTTACAGAATCATGGAATTTAAGGGTTGGAATGAGCCTTACAGATCATCTAGTCCCAACCCAACTTCCTAGTGAGAGCAGCACTGAGGCCTTAGGCTTGTGCCACCTCTGCTGGCACAAATCCCACTGGGATAGAGGCTAGAAAATCAAAAATGGCCTATGAGTTTAAGCTTTGATTCCAGTCAGATTTACAGCCCCAAATATGTCAGGGTTGTCCCCAATGGAACCTTCAGAGCACTGGAGAAAGCAAGGAGGATAGCTGAGTACTGTGGGCTGACAGGGTTCTCCTGGGGCAGCTGTCCAGCTCTAGAGCTGCTGAGTGAGTCCTGGTCACTTCAGCACAAACTCAGTTTTGGTAATCTGGGGAAGTTTAACATAGTTGGCATAAATGAATTTCAGGTCTAACAGTCGAAGTGCTGAGACATGAAAGCTGCGATAGCATTTCTAATGGCAGGTTCCTTTCCAATGTGGATTATAATCCACTCAGCATGTTGGGTGTTCTCTCTCCTAATGCTTTGGTTGTGTTTGCAGTGTTCCGTGTGGAGCTCTCCTGCACTGGCAGACTCGACTCCGATGTCACGATCCTGATGCAGCTCAACTTAACAATAAATTCTTCCAAAAACATCACAGTTCTCAACTTCAAACGAAGGAAAATGTGTTACAAGAGTAAGAGATTCACTTGCAAATCCTTTGGAGGGTTTAGTGGTGGTTGGAAAAGGGAGTGGGATGAGATGTGATCCAGGTGGGAGTAGCAGTCAGTGTGTGGGGGGAGGATGGGGAGAAACCAGGTACAGTTTTGGCTTTCACAGGTAGATGAGGACTTTGGGTAAAAGCAGAAGCTGCTGAGTGATAAATCCTCAAGAGTTCTGCTGGACTGACTTGACCTTGATGATCTTAGAGGTTTCCTCCAACTTTGAAGATTCTAGGACCTACCTCTTTTATGTACAACACCAAGAATTTTCTCTGTGTTTGGAAGGAAAAAGGAGTTTCCTCAAAACTGCATCACTCTAAGGATTCAGATTGTTCTAACAATTACCAAGAGAATCCACTTAGTTTTTAAACTGTGATAAAATTGGCTGTTTAGCCAAGGTAAAAAAGGTGGTGTCAGTGTGTCAGAGCTGGAGTACAAAATGAACTCGGTACATTATCCAGACTTGATAAATCCCAGATCAGCTGTTCTGTGTTTCCACTTGGAAACCTGCAAACATCATTTCTTCGTAGATCATTCCTGTCTCCTATTGCTGCTTCCTAGAATGGTTTTCATAGGCACAAGAAGAAAGTTCTTTTGGAGAATCCCAAGAACTGTCACTACCTCCTTCAAAATGGCTGTGGGATCCTGTTCTCAGGCAGCATTTGGCATGGTCACCTCCCTCTTTACATGCTCCTCCTGGCTCTGGTCAGCTCACTTGGGGCCTTTGAGGACAGGAATAGGCTTTCTAGAGGGAGATTTCATGGAATCATAGAACCATCAGGGTTGGAAGAGACCTCTCAGATCATCAAGTCCAACCCTTAACTTGTCACTGCTGGAGCCCCCAAACCATATCCTGAGTGTGGTTGGGTATTTAAGTGAGAATCTAGGGATAACTGACCCTTGAGTCAGCTCAGCTCCTGGGAACAGCAGCTCTGTGTTTGTCTCCCTGGAAAGGGCCATGAGAAATGTTCACTGAACTTCATGGTTTTCTCTCACCTGTTTAGAGCTTGAACCTGAAGTCAAATCTCCAGCAGCTGACAAAAACAGCAGCAAGGCTCTCTGTAAGTAATCCTGAGTGTGCAGCTGACTTTGGGTGGAAAAAACGAAGAACTCGGGATGTTCTTTGATTCCACAGCTTTCCCTATGGAAAGGGAAAAGCACTCCAGGGAGTAGTGTAACAAACCCTCCACTGTGCTATGCCAAGTGTTTTGGGGTTGCCTAAATAACTCATTATTTATGCTGGTGAAGGCGGGGGGGAACCTATTCCAAGTCTCCTAACAATCTGTCTCACATCTCAAGGGCTCTGGTTTCTGTCCATGACTCTGATCTGTTTGCTTGGCTCTAAGACCTGTCTGGTTTAACCTCTACGATGAATGAATAGAATGAGGTAGTTTTTTCTCCCTTCTAACTGGAAACACCATCAGCTGTCTGTGCTCACTCTCCAGAGTACTCAGCATGGAAATGTTGTGTTCAAGTGCTGCTGGAAAGCAGCAGAGTCATTGCTCAGTGTTCCTTTTCCCACCCAGTGGTTCTCTAGGAGGACTAATCTCAGTTTGGGGCTGCTGCTTCTCCCTGCTTCCAGCCCCTCTGCCTGTGTTCCTGTGACATACTAACAAACTGGCTTTGCTTGTGGGATTTGTGGGGTATTTGGTTGTGTTTCTCTGTTTGAGAAGTGCTCAGGACCTTCCACCTTTCCTTTGCAGTTGACCCTGTAAACACAGCTCCCACCACCTCTACCCGGGTGTTCTACATCAGTGTGGGAGTGTGCTGTGCTGTCATATTCCTGGTGGCAATAATCCTGGCTGTCCTGCACCTGCACAGCATGAAAAGGATAGAGCTGGATGACAGGTATGGATTGCAGCTTTCCAGGTGTGCTTTTGGCACTTATTTGCTAACATTTGTGGGAGTTTGGCCTTAAAAGGAGCACTCTAGTAGCTTGCAATTTCCATGCCTTGTGGGGAAGTTTGCGCAGAATCAGATCCACAGGGATTGTCAGGCTTGAAGGGGAATTTGTTGGATCCCTGGGCACACTGAAGACAGACTGGGAGCTGGGGGTGTTCAGCCTGGAAAAGAGAAGCTCCAGGGAGTCTGTACAGCCACTTCAGTGCCTAAAGGAGCTCCAAGAGAGCTGCAGAGGGACTTGGGACAAGGGATGGATGGACAGGACACAGGGAATGGCTTTCCACTGCCAGAGGGCTGGGCTAGATGGGATATTGGGAAGGGATTCCTCCCTGGGAGGGTGCTGAGGCACTGGCACAGTTTGCCCAGAGCAGCTGTGGCTGCTCCATCCCTGGGAGTGTTCCAGGCCAGACTGGATGAGGCTTGGAGCAACCTGGGCTGGTGGGAGGTGTCTCTGCCCATGGCAGAGGTGGAACAGGATGAGCTTTAAGTTCCCTTCCCACTCAATCCTGTGCTCCATGCTTCGATGAAAGCATTTGGGTTTTGCTGACATCTACAGGAGACTGAATTCCAGTTTTTTCTATTTGCATTGAGTTTCCAGTGTTCCCTTTGCCCTTAGGCTACAACCTGGGGATTACAACTGCTTGGTTATAAAGCTGGAAGAGTTATCCTCTCTCAAATATATTTCCAGTCCAGAAAAAAGAAAACCACCATGGCACAGGGATGTGAAGAGGACTTGTAACATGACCCCAAGGGCAATGGAGCGAGGATTCCACATGAAGGTGGGAGGGAGGCTAGAGCAGCAGGTGGACTGAGGCTGTGTGAACTGGCTGCATCAGGTGCAGCTGTTCAGGAACAGCCAGTTGGAAACTGGATCCTTTGGAAAACAGTCAGGCCTGTGGGTGATCACCCTTGGGGAAAGGCTATCTTGAGCTGCTGCTGTGCTGCAGCCTTTGGGAGTAGCTTTATCTTTCCATCTGCCTCTTTAGCCATTGATCTGCTCCTTTCAGAGCTCCTCCCTGCTGTCCCTCAGCCCATGGGTTTGGGGTGGCACTGCAGGGAGCACTCAGGGCTTGATTCTAAGCAAATGGCTTAGCAGCTTTCCTCAATCCTTTGTGCCTCGTTGTCTGCTGAGAGGTTTTAAGCAGTGGAGGTGTTGAAGGATGTGCAGCTTGCTTAGTTCAGAGAGGCAAAAAAATCACATTTATAGTGTGTAAGTAGTGTCATCTGGGAGTCCTTGAGGCTGTCTAGCCTAGCAGTGTCATTCAGTTTCCTTCCATCTGGATTTGTGAGGAGATACAAGCTAAAAGTTCATCTGATGTTAGTGCTCTGTGGTTTGCAGGTGATCAGATGCCTTGAGGGCATCACCAAGTGTGTCTGAAAATCCCCCAGTGGTGGCTGGCACTGCCTGGGCAGTGCTCAGCAGCAGCCCAGGAAACAAATGCAGTGGTGATTAGTTGGCAAGGCAGAGGCTGTATCCAAACCTAGTCTCCTCTTTGCTCTCCCATACAGTCAGCAGAAGAGGAGAAGCTTTTCAGTTGGATAAAAGGGGAGGATGTTTGTGTGTGTGTTTGGGAGGGACGTCAGGAAAGCTGCTTCTGGCCTTGCCACCTGAGCTCTGACAGGTCCTGCCTTGGCCTCTCCACCTGTCCTTGGCCATTGCAGCTACAACAACTCTTCTGCAACTCCAGCATGAGGAAGCTGTTCCCAGTCTAAGAACAGAAGTGCTGAGGTGTTTGAGTTACCTGAAACCCATTTGAATGTGCGAGAGACTTCAAAGTCTCCATTCTTTCAAAGTCTAGCCTGGAAGAGCTTCTGCTTTAACTTCCCTAGGTTAGTTTTGCCTGTGTTATAGTGATCAGCAGTGATGTCCCTTTGTGTTTTCAAACAGCATCAGTGACAGCAGCAGCTCCCAAGGGCTGTCCCAGCCTTCCACCCAGACGACCCAGTACCTGCGAGCTGACACCCCAAACAATGCCACACCAGTAACCAGTAAGTGTTCATCTAATCACAGACCCTCCTGGCCACAGCTGGGTCACACTGATTTTCCTAGCAAGTACAAGACGAGTCAGGGAGTTGCGGAAAGCAGAAGTTCCCCCTGAGCCTCCTTATCTCCAGGCTGGGCCCCCTCCAGCTCTCTCAGCTGCTCCTTGTGCTCCAGCCCTTTCCGAGCTCTGTTCCCTTTCCTGGACACACTCAGTCCCTCAGTGTCTTTTCCCAGCTCATGTTGGGCTCTTATGTCCTGTCCACCTTGGGTTTTTGGTTTGGCCTTCCCAGTGCCACTGTCTGGTTAATTGGGATCTGCCCCTGGGAGCTCCTGACAGGGCAGAGGACCCAGCCCAGGGGGAGTATGATGACCACTGTGCTCAGTCCTTGCTTCACAGTGTCTCTGACCTGGTTTGGGCCACCCCCAGCAGCACTGGAGAGAATGAAGCTCAGAAGGAAGAAGGTTGGCTGTGGGAAATAAGAAGGACATTGTTGGTCATTCCACAGTTGTTAGCACTTAGCTTTCAGTCACATGGAAATGTCCAAGAGTAATCCATGAACTTGTACAAAATATTCCATCCTCTCCCGTCTGTGGGTGTCTCCAGATGTCTGGAAGTGCCAGAAGAGGGCGCTGGTACTTTGATTATGTCCTGCTGGGGTAAGGCACCTTCCCTGCTCCAAGTGTTCCACCACTCTGACCATGCTCTTTATTTCCTCCTCCTCAGGGCAGTGCAGTGTGGGGCTAATTACCCTCAGGACAGAAGGAGTTTCCTTTTCTTGGGGTTAATAATGAGGCTTGAAGAGTTTCTGGGGATCTCTTTTCCTGTTGCTGCTATTCACTAACTTCTCCTGTGTTCTTGGGTGCTTCAGTCCAGAATCTCTTTCAGATAATCCATGATATGTTGAGGAACAAGCTGCTCCCCATGTGTTTGCCTGCAGGTGGTGCTGAGGTGAAGCTATGTGCTGTGTGCTCACTAAAAGGGTGTTTATGTTGGCTTGTTTGGCTCTGTTGGCTCCTCAGGTTATCCAACATTACGGATAGAGAAGAATGATCTGAAAAGTGTCACTCTCATGGAAGCTAAAGCTAAAGTGAAGGACATAGCCATCTCCAGAGAGAGGATAACCCTTAAAGATGTGCTCCAAGAAGGTATTTACAGCACTCAGACACTTAATTGTTACAACATGATGTGTATATATGTGAAATATTTATCTTTTTGTGGCTGGAGTTCTCAGAAATTAATCCCTGAAGGCGTTTCTGGTCTTCAGAGCTTTGGTGGAGGAGAGGAATGCTGACTGGTGTTTGCATTTGGGGTGTGGGGATAGCACTCTCCAGACTTCATTAGGGTGGGAGCAACTGTGTGTGCTCAGGAAATCATTCAACTTCTGTCCTAATAACCTGGTCATAGAACCATCAAGGTTGGAGGAGACGTCTCAGATCACCAAGTCTAACCGTTACCCTGTCACTGCTCTAATTGTGTGTTCTCTTCCCAGGCACCTTTGGGCGCATTTTCCATGGAATTCTAATAGAAGAGAAAGATCCCAGCAAGGAGAAACAAGTCTTTGTCAAAACTGTGAAAGGTATGTGTGCAGAAAGGAGAGGGTTTGTGCCCAGGTCTGCAGGCTGAGAGGGGCAAACCTGCCCTGAACAACCTCCTCCTCCCCACAACATGCAAATGGTGCTGCTTCACAAGCACTTTGGGTGCTGCCTTCAGCCAGAGAGAGCAACAAACTTATATGGAAGAAAAATGTGTGTTCTTCACCAGTGCCTCCAGTTACTGCCCTTGAATACTTGTGTTTATTATTCTCCTAAGTAAAAATTAGATTGTTACTGCTCTTCCCACCCACAGCTTTGTGTCCTGAAAACTGCTGAGAAACCCACATGAAACACAACTTAAAAAGCTGTTCTACCTGTGTGGCTGTAGCAAAGAGAGGACACAGGCTCTGAACTCTTTAAGCTTTGCTCCCAAAGCATGAGCATTTAGAGGTGAACTGATACCAGTAGAGCATCTGTGTTCAAGAATTGGGGTTGTTGGAGTGATTGCAATGGTGCTGGGTTGACCTAAGAAACAGCAAGGTAAGCATAGGTGACAACCATGTTACACGTATCCAATGTATATGTTCCATACACCCTACACGTATCCCTCATTACATGGATCCTAGAGTGATGGTACTCACCAGATCTTGAGATGGTAAGGGGTTGGAATGGAGCTTAGAGATCACCCAGCCCTAACCCCTGCCCTGGGCAGGGACACCTCCCACCAGAGCAGGTTGCTCAAGGCTCATCCAACCTGGCTGTGAACACTGCCAGGGTTGGGGCAGCCACAGCCTCCCTGGGCAACCTGGGCCAGTGTCTCATCACTCTCACAGGGAAAACTTCTTCCTGTCACTCAGACTCACTGTCTGTAGGGAACTTTGCAGCTTTCAAAAGGATCTACATGGAACAAGTTGAGAGGAGATTTAGCTGGTACTTGTCTGGTTTGGGCAGCAGAAGGTTGCTAGGAAAATAGCTCTCAGCATCCCTCTTCTCACAGCAGCTCACATGCAGTGCCCATAGTAAGCAGCTTCATTTCCCTCCCCTGGCTGTGAGAGCTGTGTATGCAGCTGGGACAAGGGAATAAGTTGGGAATTTGATCTGCTTGGCACAAAAAAACCCCAAAAAAAACCTGCAAAATTATCTCCTAGCCAGAGTTTCTCCTTGATCTTGTTCATTCTGTGGCCACACACACTGCTATTCTGGCACAAACAGGGTCATAAAAACCTGATGGATATGAGAACTATTAAACTGACTTAAGTATGTCTTTGCTGAAGGCAAGGAAGGAGCCTGAGGGTCATGGAAAAGACAAGGAAGAAAGGCTTTGTGTGTGTAGTTGTTATCCCTTCTAGAAAGTAGGAGCTGCTCCTGAACTGTCTTGTTTTCCTCAGAGCTGCACTCTGAAATCCATAAAATCAAGCCCAGTGGTTCCCCAGATGTCAGAAATTAATGGGGAGAGGTGTGGGGTGGTTCAGGTCTTGGAAGAGTGTGAGCTGGAGTTCTGTCAGCAGGTGCTGTGATGAATAACCTTCTAGACAGGAGAAACATCTGTGTCCTCAGCAGGATTAGAGCTTGATAAGCTGAAGCCATTACTTCCCTGGCATCATGGGAGTTTTTGCTTTAAACCTGAAATTTCCAGTAGAATCCCCATATGGTTTGGCTTAGAAGGGCCATAAAGCTCATCCAGTCTCACCCCCTGCCATGGGCAGGGACACCTTCCACCAGCCCAGGTTGCTCCAAGCCATGTCCAGCCTGGCCTGGAATTCATCCAGGGTTGGGGCAGTCCTGTGTGCATCTCCCCTCTCAGTCCAAATCTGTTGCCCTTGTCCTATCATTTCAGGCCATCATCAAAAGTCTCTGTGTCACTGCCCTACAGGATCCATCACCTTTTGAGGGGTGGAGGGTGTGTACAGAGGGGAATGTGCTGTCAGTTGTCTCCGTTCATAGCCCAGGGAAGGTGGATGTTGTGGCTGCTGTGCTCATCAGGCAACAGTTCCATCTGTGAGTGTTTCCTGCTCTGAGGGGAGTGTTTGCCTTGTCAGTTTGCCTCTTGCCTATCTTCTTATCTCTCCCTGGGGTTGATTCTTTTCCCCAATGGATCCAAAAGCACAGATAGCTGACTGGTTATGGCAGTAACTGCAGCAGCCCTTCCCTCTTTTCCTTCCCTGATGTTTTCCAGCCCTCCAGTAAGATGCTGAGCATTGCTCTGAACCAGAAGAGCTCAGTGATGCCAGCAAGTCTTGATGCCTCTGAACTTAGCCCTTGTTGTCCCTCCTGATCCACTGCTAAAGGAATCAGTAATGCCTAAAACCCAAGAAAGCCTGGATCTCTCTGTCCTGAGAAGCTCTTGAAGTGGAAGAGGCTATCCAGAGAGTTTCCAGGAATATATTGTATTCCCTGTTTTCTTGGGCTGGGGTTGACCTGTTGGGTCAGATTCTCCAAGAGCAGGTTGGAGCCTACTAAAGCCCCACCAGTGCAGGGACAGATAGATTGGAGTGTGCTTGCTTTGCATGGTTCCATGAGTTCTCCTCCCCCCAGAGTATTTTTGGAGTGTTTGAGCTGAACCATTCAGTAAGTTTTTCAAGCAGTTTGCAACCAATTTGGTGCTTAATTGGTCTGTAGGTCATAATTGGATAGGGCTGAAAAGCTGGAGACACTTCTCTTGCAATCTCACCACAGATCTTTGCTGAAGACAGTCTGAAGGAGGATTCAGCCCCGACTGTTTACTCAGATCCCTTAGAAAAGGTCTTTCTTCTGCCTAAGTGTAGTGCACTGCAGGGAGAAGGTTGTGACATGCCCTGGTGGTGAGGAAGTTTCTGCCTGCAGGTTCATGAAGTGCATTAATTCATCCTGTTTTGTCTTGCTGACATTTGGAGTGTGCCTGGATCCTGAGCCTTCCTTTGTGTGCCCTGCTCTGTGCCAAGGGAGAGAGCTTCAAGGGACATGGATTTCAGTTGGTAGCTTGCTGGAAGCTCTAAGAACTTTGGGATCCCAAGCCCTGGGCAAAAGGTGTCCCATGTCCAGACCATCTCCAGGCCCTCCACATTGGCTACTCTGTTCCTTTGCAGTTTCACTGTGTCACTTTGCTCATCCTCATCATAAAAGTTTTAATTACTTGGATATTTAGACTTTTCTATGGAAAATTTGCCTTGGTTCTTTCTTTAAATAGACATTCCTGAAGATTAAGGCTGTGTCTCTCATTGCCAAGAAGAACAAGGATATGTTATCTACTATATTTGGGATTTTGGAACCCATGGATCAACACAACTTCAATAAGTTCTTTGTTAGAAGATGGGAGCCTTAGCTGGTGTTTGCTTTCTTCCTTCGTGTTTCTTGCTCTACAGCAGAATTGTGTTATGAGGTTGGAATGCTTCACCTTCCAATGGGAGGTTTCCAGTCCCTTTGGGAAGTATCCTGGTTGGCATGTTGTGCTCCAAGCTGGCAGTGCATCTCTTGCCAGTGATTAACAGATCTCTTCTGCCTTTCTTGGGAATCTTTGAAGTCATCTGATGGCAGGAGAGGAGGAAAACACACAGGTTGAAAGAACACATTGTTTCACTGAGCTTTTCCTGGGAAGGAGAAAGTGGTGAGCAGAACAAATGGAATTGTGCTGTTCCAGGAACACAGGCAGCGAGGGGAGCCGTGAGCCCTGACTCACTTGGGCTCTTCTGGCCAAGGTACACTGCTGGGAAACAAAACCCCTCGTGCTGCTGCAGATAGCCTGCCTGCTCCCATTCCATGGGCTAACCACTTACCATTCTTCTGATGCACAGGGAAGGAGTGTTTGAAAACAAACCACCCATGGAAAGCACTGAGAATAAAGTCAGTATATGCCAAAGGGCAACTCTTCAACCTCAGTGTTTTACCAGCCTTACACAGCTTGGAGTTTTGGTCCAGTCATCTTGACAGATGTGATACTGTGAAACATGAGCAAGGTTAAGCAGAGTGTCCTGTGCTGTCACCTCCTCGTGTTGTCATTTGGGTGTGTCTTGACTTACAGGAGCATGGAATTCCCTAGGATGCACAGGTAAAGCACTGAGACATTGATGTGTGGAAGTTCTGCTGTTCCCTTAGCACCTCTGGGACATGCAGTAGGGCTGCAAACAGGACCAAAGTGTCCTTTCCTCGCATCTGTGGCAGGCAGGAATCCTTGGATGTGCTCCTGCCTTCCAGGGCCACTTGTCCCTGTCTCACTCTGAGGGGCTCTGGAAGTTTTAAAGCAGGAATACTTAGTGCCTGTGCTTTCCCTTATGCCTTTGCAAAAGCAGGTTGGCTCGTGGCTACTTGCCTTCCTTGAGCACAACATCCTCCCAGTGAAGGGAAGTTGTGCCAAGGTCTTGCCAGCAGCATTGCAGATGTAATGGTCATGGAAGAGTCTCTGAGCATTGAGTTTCTTCCAAAGACTCATGTAGAAGGGTTAAAGCAACACTCAGGCATGTAATTCTCTTTGAACTGGGGTTGCATTCTGCTTTGGGAGCAGTTCTGCCTAATGAATTGCTCTGCAGAAGCAGCAGTAATTAACAAGGATGTGTTGGTACTGGGAGCATTTCTCACCTGGAGCTGTTGTAGTCCTGCCCTCTGAATTCCTATGGACATTGCCTGCCTGTCTTGCCTTTCACCCTGCAGTAGCCTCAGCTCATGGACTTGGTCACAGGGGGTTTGGCACAGTGCTCGAGGCTGGGAGATAATAAGGGCAGCAGAAGCCTGTGAAAAGTGGCAGCCACGTGGAAAATGGGCTGTGATGCTGGGCAGGATTGGCTTGCAGTATGAGACAGGAGGAAGTTTGCCTGGGAACAAGCCCTGACAAATGGTCCAAAGATGAGAAAAGCTGAAGGTAAAACATCCTTTTAAATAAATGTGTTTGTCAGAAGCCTTGGAGTTCCTGGCTGGAGTGTTTGCAGAGCTGCTTCTGGAGGAGTGCTCAGAGGATGTGCTGTTCCTGGTTGTGAAAGGGCTCTGGAACCTGTGATTACATGGATTTTAAGGTTCTGCAGAAACAGATTTCAGTGGCTGCTACATGAAGCGTTTAAGCTGTAATGCTGACAGGAGGGTGCAGTGAGATGAGTCTCAGCCTGTTATCTGGGTGACAGGACAAAAGGAAACAGCCTCAAGTTGCAGCAGAGCAAGCTTAGGTTGGCTATTAGGGAATATATATTCCCTGGAAGGGCTGTCCAGCCCTGGCACAGCTGCCCAGGGCAGGGCTGGAGTCACCATCCCTGCAGGGGTTTAACGGCCAAGTGGATGTGGCACTTGGGGACATGATTTAGTGGCCTTGGCTGTGCTGAGGGAATGATTGGACTCAATTATCTTAGAGGTCTTTTCCACCCTAAATGATTCTGTGATCCTGTGGGTGCTGTGCTTTGCTGTTTTGAGGTTCTGGGAGGTCTGACTTGTAAAGTGACTCTTGAAAGCACCAGGCAGTCAGTTACCCACTGCAGCATCCAAGGCATTGCTGCTTCTCATCCTTGAGGAGTCACTGGGGGTAAGGAGTAACTTTCCCTGCTGAGAGCCTGATCCTGGAGAGAGCAAGCTCCTTCAATCTCACTGTCATCACAAACCCTCCCTGAGCTCTTTTCCCCTGTGTCAGTGATTGCTGTGAGGATGACAAGTGATGGTGAGCAAAGATTTCAAACTGCATTTTTGCAACAGGGTTGGGAGAAGTTGGTAAAAACCAGAGAAGTGCTTCTTGCCCCGTTGAGCCAGGAGGGGCCCCAGCAGATCCCCCACACTCTCCAGGACTCTGTGCAGAGATCAGCCTCCTCTAGAGAAACAGCAGTGCCAGGAGCCCCACTGTGCCTGGCTGCATGCAGACACTGTGATATCATGAGAGAAACCTGCAGCCTGAGCAAAACTGCTTGACATCCTGCCTAGCTCTTGCACTGGCCCTCTGGAGAGGCTTCCCCAGCCAGGCTTTTGGCACAGAACGGGTGAAACAGGGCTCTGAAAGCACTTTGCTCTCTGCAGTGCAGTGTGAGCCATCTCAAACAGGCTTGGTTTTTATCACCTTGTAAAAGCTGGACCTTTTTTGGTCCAAATTGAACATCTAGAGTTACTCCTGGGTGTTAAATCTTCCTCTGAACTCAGGCCAAGTCTCTGCTTTGCAACCTGTGTGGCTGATGTGAGACAGCCCTGTGAGGACAGGTGATGCTCCATGGGTGCTCTGCCCTGGCTGCATCTCATGCTCGTCCAGCTGCAGCTGCACCAATTCCTGAGCAGAGACCAGTGCTGAGTCACAAACGGTGATATGTCAGAGAGAAGCTTAGCTTTCTCCAGGGCTTCGAAGCTGTGCCACAAGCTCTTGGTTGGTGCCTTGCCCTGGAGTGTTCCCCTTCAACTCAGGGCTGTTTGCTCAACCCAAACTTGATATACAGGAGATTGTGACCTCCTCAGTTGTGTCTTTAAGTAGCTGTTCTGATTTAGGAGGTTTCTGGCTCTGTGGGAGGCTTTCCCCCCACTCCTCCCTCTTACGTTCCTGTCACACACCTTCCCAGATCCAGGATGGACCAAGGGAACCACAGAGCCCCTGAGCATTCCATGCCTGACAGGATCCTTCCCAGCTCTGCTTTGTGTAGCTGCACAGTCCTTTCTGAGGGGTTAATGCCCACATGAGTGTGCTGACATGTCATACTCAAATCTGATAGATGGTTTTGATCCAGGATTCCATGTTGGCCCAGGCAGGAAGGTGAAATCTGTGGGATTCATCTTGGTGTGTCCTGGTGAAAACATCTCCCCAAGTTGGGATTGCTGGGGCATGGATACCACTGGGACTGTGTTTTTCCTAGCAAAGCCAGAAGTGTTGTGGGTTTCTGGATTTCAGGGTTCTTGATATGATTGGATTCACCAGGTCCTCTGCAACAAGATGGGTCACTGCCAAAATCACCTCAGCCTCATCTGTGGGGACCTGTCTGTCAGGTGCTCCAAGTCACACAATCAGTGAGGTTGGAAAAGGCCTCTGAGATCATGAAGTCCAACCTGTGACCCAGCACCACCATGGCACTGAGTGCCATGTCCAGTCTCTCCTTAGACAATATATAGTGACAGAGTTTGTTTAGATGAGCTTCTTCTTGTGTAGCTGAAGAAAATCAAAGTGTAAATGCCTTCAAATGAAGTCTGACTGCAATGGGCAGTGCTGCAACAGCAGTTTTGATGCTATCTCCCCCCTTTTTGCCTAGAATCACTCAAAGAAGTGATGATTTAGATTGTGGTTGGAATTTTGTCTAGTACAAACCCCCAGTAATCAAACTGTGTGGTGGTGCCAACCTGGCACAGGCTCAGCTAGGGGAGACTTAGCCTTGTACTGCTATTGTTTGTCCTGAGCCTGTTGAATTTGTTGGTTTTGGGTAAGTCTTTTTTCCCTGCAGAAAACAAGGAAATAATATTGATAAGCAAAGACAATGCAGCTGCTGGGGCTGTGTCACCAGATAAGGGCTGGATTTCCAGATATATACTCGTCTGGGAGTCAATCATCTTCTTGGCTGCTGAGCCCCTACAACATGGCAAGAAAACAACCAAACATCCCAGTGACCTGCTGGAAAGGGAAAGGCCCCAGAGTGTTCTCCCTCACAGAGTCACCTCCAGGGATGACTAGGTACATTGTCCAAACCAGCTGAACTGGTTCTGTGGATTTTCTATCCACTCGGAAATCATCTCAGATTTGAAGCTTCCAATTATTACTTGGTGGCTCTTATAATTAAAAGCAAACCAGTTGAGTGAGCATAGGGGCAAAAGGAGTGTTTGAGCAAGTTAATCAGCTTAACCTCACACCCAGGACTCTCTTTCCTCCCTTTCTTGTGTGCTGGCTTGGAGAGCTTGAATTCGGCAAACAGCTCTAAGGTTACAAACAGTCAAGTATGTTGAGCAGGGAAATAAGTAAACCTAGAAATAAATGGTCTCCATGAGGGTGGAAGTTGACTGCAGACACCTGCACTGGTAATTTAGCAGCAAACCAGTGTCCTCTGGGCACATCTCTCTTTGGGAAGCACATGGCATATTCCTTTGCTTCCAGCAGCTCCAGCCTCTGTGCAGGATGTGACCCACACTGCTCAGTGCAGGCAGTGCCTGCCCAGAAGCTGTCAGGAAGTGGCAAAAAATAGTCTGTCAGCACCTGCAGTGTGGTTTCTTTCTGGGCTTCACCCTCTTGGAGCAGCAGCAATGTGCCTCAGAGCTTGGCTTGCTCCTCTGGGGCTTTTTGGAAATTCCATTTTAAAAAAGGCAAACAAGTTTTGTTTGTGCTCAAGTGACCTCAAGTGACTTGCAAATCTGAACTGAGTTCTAATGAATGTGTTGGTTTGACTCCAGAGTTGTATCTGTGGTTTCCTTTCCCCCCTCAGATCAGGCCTCGGAGGTGCAGGTGACCATGATGCTGACAGAAAGCTGTAAGCTCAGAGGACTTCATCACAGGTGAGTCAGGCAGCAAACTGTCCCTGGCAGCTGAAAATGCTGTGCTGGCAGCTCCCTGGGGGGAGAGGGAACATCACTTTCAGAGCAGTGTGTTCAGAGAATCCCACAGTGGTTTGGGTTGGAAAGACCTGAAAGATTGTCTCCTTCTAGGGATACCTCCTGCCAGCCCAGGTTACTCCAAGCCCTGTCCAACCTGGCCTGGAACACTCCCAGGGATGGAGCAGCCACAGGTGCTCTGGGCAGCCTGTGCCAGTGCCTCAGCACCCTCCCAGGGAGTCTTCAGAGCAGTGTGTTCAGAGAATCCCACAGTGGTTTGGGTTGGAAAGACCTGAAAGATTGTCTCCTTCTAGGGATACCTCCTGCCAGCCCAGGTTACTCCAAGCCCTGTCCAACCTGGCCTGGAACACTCCCAGGGATGGAGCAGCCACAGGTGCTCTGGGCAGCCTGTGCCAGTGCCTCAGCACCCTCCCAGGGAGTCCCTTCCCAATCTCCCATCTAGCCCTCTGGTCTGGCAGTGGGAAGCCATTCCCTGTGTCCTGTCCCTCCATCCCTTGTCCCAAGTCCCTCTGCAGCTCTCTTGGTGCCCTTTTAGGCATTGGAAGTGGCTCTAAGAACTCCCTGGAGCTTCTCTTCTCTAGGTGAACACCCCCAGCTCTCCCAGCCTTATAGTAACAATTAAGGCCTTGCCTTTAACAGAGGATTCACAGCAATTTATCTCAGCCCTTTTGGACCTAGGAAAAAACATGTGGAGGGGTGGTTCCTCCTGATGAGAAAGGAGCAAATATCTCATTTAGTAAGAGAAATAAATGTTTTGGGCTTAAGTTATTTGGGCACATTGTGCTTTGCAATCCATTCTAGAATGAGAGAGTGTGAAGGGGTTGGAGTGGAGGTCAGAGGTGGCTCAGTCCCAAAGGGACACCTCCCACCAGAGCAGGTTGCTCAGGGCTTGATCCAACCTGATGAATGCTGAAATGCTGTTCCTCAGTGCTGAATTCCTTTCAGTTCCTGTGTTTAGATTTGGGTCAAATTTCAGGTTCATGAAATGAGGAATTTCTCTCACTTTTCCAGGAATCTGCTGCCCATCACTCATGTCTGTATAGAAGAGGGAGAGAAGCCGATGGTGCTGCTGCCATACATGAACTGGGGGAACCTGAAACTCTTCCTGCGCCAGTGCAAGCTGGTAGAGGCCAACAACCCTCAGGTACCCTTGGGAATCTGGGACTTGGTGCCCATCCAGCCTTGGCAGCTGTGTATGTGCCTTCAGAGGAGCAGCTGTGGCACCCTCCTGCTCGGTGTGAGTGTGGGAGAGCTGCCCAGGAGCTTCCCCAGCAAGGGCAAACCTTCCTGGCTGTGTTTGTCCCTGTTGCTCACTGGGTATGGAGCTGAGTGACCTCTGAGCAGGGCAGGAGCTGAGAGAAAATAGTATGTGATTGTGGATTTCAAATCCTGTCTGGAGAGCTTGCAGATTTGCAGCTTTTAATGTTGGTCGAGCTAAAAGATTTTTCCCTTTCATTCCTGTAGCTGTTCATTATTTTGCAGCAAACATAAAGCACTTCTGTCCCCCTCTGGAAGTGCTGCTGTAGTAAGCAAACCAACTGCGTTTGTTCAGCTCTAGCTACTAAAGGAAGGGATCTCAGATGTGTTTCCTGCTGTGGGTGCTTTTTAGCTTCAGAACTTTACTGCCTTTCCATGGAACCTGTGGCATTTATTTTCTGGAAGAGAATATCCCTAGATGAGAAGATATTTAGCTTGTTTTTAACAGTCTGAATAAGTGTTTCCTGCTGGATGTATCTGTGTAGTAAAACCACCTCTCTTGTTAGCATTACTTGTCTTTTCTTCAACCTCACCTTGGTTTGGCTTCTTGAGACTAAGTCAAGCACAAGAAGAAATTCCAAGGTCAGCATTTGTCCCTGTTATGTACCAAATTTAACACTAGGCAGTTTATTTTTGTTTAATGTAGTATCTGGTATGTTTTAACCCCAGTCTCCCACCTTCAGTGTGTCCCACACACTGAGCTCCTGAAACACCAGAGAAATGGAACAGGGAAGCCAGGGAATAAAGAATAATCATTACTTACAAGTGTGAAGTTTAGAAAGGAGTGGAGCACCAGCCTTTGGTGGTGGTTTGCAGCAGTAGAGAGCACCAAAAACTGTGCCTGGAAGTGAGCTGATTTCCAGGGAGCCAGAGTGGAAGAAGTGTGGTGAGAAGGGAGAAACTCTTCATTTTGGCTTATGATCCGCACTAATCAAAGGAAAAGTAGTGACAAAAAGTGAGGCAGTTGGAAATTGGGAACATTTGCCCTTGGTATGTCAAACAACGGAGTGCAAGCTCAGAATAATAAGCCTTCCTGAGGTGTTGGTGGCTGTAGCTGGTGGAAAGCATCAGGCACAGGAGGGGAGGAAGCACTGGGGGACAACAAAGCCAAGGCCACAGAGGCACTGGCCTTGCAGTGATTGCTGTTGTGTGGTCTTGCAGGCAATTTCCCAACAGGACCTGGTACACATGGCTATCCAGATTGCCTGTGGAATGAGCTACCTGGCCAGGAGGGAGGTCATTCACAAAGATCTGGCTGCTAGGAACTGTGTGTAAGTACTGTCACCCCAGGGGCTGCAGCTCTCTTCAGCCAACCCCATCTCTGCTGCAGAATACATCACTGGCTGTGTTCCCCAGTTTGGGGGGGACTGGTTTGGTTTTGTCAGTGCTTCTGCTCCAGGGAGCAGAACATCCTCACCACGAATACTCCTCTGCTAGGTTTGGTCTGTCGCTTTTTCAAGGGCTTGAAAAATGTTCAAGCTTCCCTTCTGCTCTGTTATAAACTGGAGACTTTGTCAATAGAGAGATTTTTCTATGATGTTGTGATTCTTCATTTTTTTCCCCCTGAAAAATGGGTTAGTGGTTTGGTTAGGTTGGTAGATTTCTTGGCTGGCAAATGATGAGGAGATAGGAATGTGCTTTGGAGTGGTGGGAATGGCAGAGTAGAGTTTGAGACAATCTTCTGCCTGGAACACACCCTCAAAATGTAGAGATGGAGGTGTTCAGTGGCTTCCTGTACACTAAATCACTCAGTGAGCACCAACTCTGCTCACTTTCCATCTGTTCTTGGGCTGATGGAGTTCCTGGGAGAGTCTAGGGTTCCTATTACTTCCCCTCTCTGGGAACCATGTTGAGGAAGAAGAGGTGGCACAGGAGACAGTGAGTGCTCCAGGGACATCCCCTGGAGCCTTTGGTTTGAAAAGACAAAGAGGGTGGCAGTAGCCAGGGTCCCTTGAAGGGCTTCATTCCACCTGCCTCCACTTTGTTACCTATTCCTGTGTGGCCAAAGTCCAGGAGGAGTTGGTACGAAGTGTGTCAAACCTGGGTCCTAACTTTGGGAAGGGAGCCAGGATTGCAGTGTGCTTGGCAGCTTTTGCTCTCATGTGCCCATGGCCCAGCTAGAGAGGACATAGGGATTACACAAGTCAGAGCTCTCTGGGAAATTGCCCTCTAGATTGTCTTTGTTTATAGACAGGTCTTTCAGGAATTTCTCTGAACTCGTAGCAGTGATTAGATATGGAAATATCCTAGGCTGTATGTTGGGAGGATAATGAGCTGGCCTGAAAGTGCACAGAGATATGGGATAAGTGAGAAGGTGTGTGAGAGAGTGAAGTGGGAAAGACAGAAATTGAGCACTTGCATTTAATTTTTCTCATCAAAATAAAGAGGTGAGGGACAAGATGAGAAGACAACAAGCACACTGTGTCACAATCCCTCCCCAAGCCAGTGTTACTGCTGTGTTTTTGTCATGAGCCAACATCTTACCCCTGCTCTGAGGTCAGCTGCTATGGGAACACTGAACTTTAGTACACACTTCTTGAGCTCAAAGAGTAGGAGTTCCATCCCAGAGGGACCAAGCTCTCTGTGCTGTTTTGAGTCATCTTTACTTGATTAAAAGTAAGTTTCCCTTTGTATCCTAATCCTGACAGGCATCTCTTGTTGAGGGGAATAAACAATATCTCACCAGACTTCTTGATTGGAGACACACAAAAAACTATGGTGGCTTCAAGATCAAACTAGAGTCTCTGCCTCATTATTGCCACGGAGGTCCTGGAGCTCCAGGGTGTTTCCTTGCTCTGACAGGAGATCACCAGGGCAGCAGGTCTCCTTTAAGGGACCTGTTTGTTTGCTTGAACTGTATTTTTTTGCACTTGTCAGTGTTTGATCTTGTTTAATCAAGCTGCTGATTTCTCCAGTGTTTATCTGTTAGCCAAGAATCAATAGGTGCTAGGATAATATTTGCTCATCACAGGGTGAGTGTGTCCTGATGCAGTAGAGTGCCTTTGCCTGCAAAGAGGCTCTGGCATTCCCCAGCTCAGTCCTGAGCCTGGAGCTGCAGGTTGGGCATTGATCCCTGCTGTCAGGCTGTGCTGCCAGGGTGGCTGAGTGCCTGTTCTCTCTGCCCAGCATCGACGATGCCCTGCAGGTGAAGATCACGGACAACGCGCTGGCTCGGGACCTCTTCCCCATGGACTACCACTGCCTGGGGGACAATGAGAACAGGCCAGTGCGCTGGATGGCCCTCGAGAGCCTGGTCAACAATGAGTTTTCCAGTGCTAGTGATGTGGTAAGTTTGGGTTTTTTTTCCCCCCTCCTGTATTTTGTTGGCGTTTTTCCCTTTTTTTTCAGCCAGTGGAGAATCCCAGAACTGCAGGAGGGTTTGGGTTGTGGAAGGACCTTAGAGCTCATCTCATCCCACCCTTCTGCTGTGGGCAAGGACATCTGCCACTAGACCTCTGAGGCCCATCTAACCTGGCTGTAAACACTGCCAGGGTTGGGGCAGCCACAGCCTCCCTGGGCAACCTGGGCCAGTGTTTCTCCACCCTCACAGGGAAAACTTCTGCCTAAGACATAACCTAAATTTCTCTCTCTCAATTTCCCTGTTACTCCTTGTCCTGTCACTGCAGATCCTAACCAAGAGTCCCTCTGCAGCTTTCCTGGAGCCCCTTCACCTAAGATTAGTAGGAGCTGATGTCAGACCACCTGCCTGTGGTTCCCTGGATCCCATCTGTGCCTTTGATCCAGTTATCTGGAGCCTCCCTGGGCTGAGGTGACCTCTGACAGATGAGAGCAGCATTGCCACAACCTCACCCTGTCCCTGGCTGCCCTTGGCTGCATCCTGCCCAGTCCAGCAGACTGGTGCTAGTGTAGAGAACTTTAGAGAAGTTCTGGTTGTTTTTTCCTCTCCCTTATGTGTTCAAGCCACATAAACAACCAGAAAGAGAAGGAAGGGAGGGAAGGAACCAGCTCTGCTCCTCAGGTCCTCCTGTGCCCCCTGGAAAACATGGGGGGCTTTGTGCTATCCCAAACCTTCAGACAGAAGAGGAAATAAAGTTGCCTGTAGAGTGCTAAACAGCGTCAACTACTTGTTGATTTTTTTTTAAATTCTGTTAACATCTGGACCACAGAAGCATTGGCTGTTTGTGAGGACTGGGCTGGGAAAGAAAAGCTTTGGAACAGTGGCAGAGAGGTGTGGAATTCTGTTAGGGTGAAGGAAGCTCAGGAACATAACCAGTGCAGTTCATAGTGCCATAGGGATAAATGCCACTCACCCTCTAGTGCACAGTGCCAGCTGCAGGTCTGTGTCAGCTGAGTTGTGTGGAGCTCTCAGCTGGACAGTTTGGTGCAGAGAACACTGTCTGCCCTTGAGAACAGTTTGCATCTACCTGGAGCCTTTTCACAGAACGGTGATGTAATGTGTTTTTGTGTGCTGGCTAGGAACAGATCTAGGGGTCCATTGCACGGAGCTCCTGATCAGTGATGAAATGTGCTGCAAATACTGAGGTGGTGTGTGCTGAGCTGCACTTGGCCTGTCCCAGCCTTGCTTGCTGGATGACTCTCTGTCAAATGGCTTTGCTGGCCTGAAAGCTTCCTGACAACATGTTCCTGCCCTGCCAGCAGCCCCAGCACTCAGCCAGGGCCAGGAAAACAACCAGGATTCCTCCTGGATCTCAGTTCTGTGCTGTTGGACACAAAGCTCTGCATCTCTTTGTGCCATTTGCACATGGAATAGTGTATGTTCAGAGGGGTTTGGCTTGACTTTCCCTTTATGTATCATGTTCTAGGTGACCACTTGTCCCTCAGCATTTCCTTACCTGCAGCTACAAAGGGGGTTGATTTCTTCTGGAGGTTGTTGGGACCCTGTGCCCCTGACATTCCCTGAGTCGAGGCAGTGCTGGGGTTTCTCTTGCTTACACCCAAGAGTCTCTGGAGGCTTTGCAGAATTCTGCACCTGTTCAGGGAACTGTGTTTGCAGCCTGTGTAACCTGAGCTGGTTGTGTCCCAAGGGCAGGACCAGCACTAGGCCTTAGTGACCCTCCTGCAGTTGTCCTCAGCCCACTGATCAAGTCAGTCCAGGTCTCTCTGCAGAGCTTCCTACGCTCAGGCAGATCTACCCTTCTGCTGCACTGTGCAGTGTCTGAAGGAGCCTGTTATGATGTTTCTGTTCCTTTGCAGTGGGCCTTTGGGGTGACCCTGTGGGAGCTGATGACGCTGGGACAGACACCGTACGTGGACATCGACCCATTCGAGATGGCTGCGTACCTGAAAGATGGTTACCGGATAGCTCAGCCCATCAACTGCCCCGACGAACTGTGAGTGCTGCTCTGGGACAGGAGAAACTGCTTTGGGACCACTGGGCTGAGCCAGGCTTGGCTTTGCCTCCCCCTGCTTGTCAGGCAAACTCTGCTGGGTGTACTCCTTGTGTGCACTGCTGCCCCACATCTGGGGCCTTCAGCAGAAAAAGGCCATGGAGCTGCTGGAGCAAGCCCAGAGGAGGTCACAGAGATGCTCCAAGGGCTGGAGCAGCTCTGCTCTGGAGCCAGGCTGGGAGAGCTGGGGGTGTTCACCTAGAGAAGAGAAGCTCCAGGGAGTTCTTAGAGCCACTTCCAATGCCTAAAAGGGCACCAAGAGAGCTGCAGAGGGACTTGGGACAAGGGATGGAGGGACAGGACACAGGGAATGGCTTCCCAGTGCCAGAGGGCAGGGCTAGATGGGATATTGGGAAGGGATTCCTCCCTGGGAGGGTGCTGAGGCACTGGCACAGGTTGCCCAGAGCAGCTGTGGCTGCTCCATCCCTGGGAGTGTTCCAGGGACAGGGCTGGGAGTAACCAGATCTAGTGGAAGGTGTCCCTGCCCATGGCAGGGAGTGGCACTGGATGAGCATTATTAAAGCCCTTCCAACCCTAACCATTCCAGGATTTTGTTTTCACAACAGTTGGGCAATTTCCAGTAAACTCTGCATTGCTTCCTCCTGGATTGCTTCAGGCTTGTGCCCTAAACCAACCCCCAGCCCAGGTACTGCCCGTTCCAGGTGTCCATCCTCTAAGGGAGTTGCTCAGCATTGTAGATCAGAAGTCCCAGGGCTCCTTGTCTGTTGCTCAGCAGGATTTCCAGTGGCAGTCGTTGGGTTTGCTGTTCAGGTGTGGCCTGTGGTCACCTGGCTGATGTTCTCCTGTCCTCCCTTGTGTCTGTGCTGCAGGTTTGCTGTGATGGCCTGCTGCTGGGCCCTAGATCCTGAAGAAAGACCCAAGTTTCAGCAGCTGGTGCAATGCCTCACTGAATTCCACGCCGCGCTGGGAGCCTACGTCTGACCCTGCAGCAGGAGGGGAGTTCCCTGCCTGGGACAAGGCCTGGCCTCTGCGGCTCCCTGCACCCCTGGGACTGACACACATGATGTGTATAAAGCAGCACCAAAGGGAGAGAGCACTTCTTCCCACACACTGTGCCTTAGAATGCCTTAGTAGTCTCAAGTTTGTTTTTTTTTAAGACCTCTTGGTGTTGAGTATTTTCTAGATCTCACTTTTGCTAAGTTAAATCAAGGCCTTTTGGTTTGCCATCAGGATTTGTAAAGTGTAGTGCTAGTGACCTTCAGCGGGAGATTTGGATGGACTTGTTGCACTCTGACAACAGACAGGTGATTCCTTTGGAAGGGTCTATGGACCTGGTGGGGAAACTAAAATCCACATAACATTGTCCTTGCCTTGGAAAGAAGTGTTGAAACTGAACCTTTCTGACCAGCTCTAGTGTTTGTACTTGTATGTATCTGGAATAGCTTTTTAGTATCAACTTCTTCTACTTTGAGACAACAGCACATCGTGGTTGGATCCACAGGCAGCATCTTCCCTTCTGATCCCATTCCCGCATGGTCTTTGGAACAGCTGGTCTTCAGGATCCAACAACTCCTTCCTAAAGTGGCAGTGGAACAGTGATTCCAGTTTACCTCACAGACAGAGTGGTGAAGGTGGGGAGAATGGTTCCCCTCCCTTCAGGCTGGTGGGAGTTTTGAGGTGGTTTTATGTGCTAACTAGAGGCCTTCAGAGAAGTGCCAGAGCAGCCCTGGGGTGGGAGTCTGTCACCTCAGCCTTCTGCCTTGCAGTTTCTCTTGTTCACAAAGGTACTGGTTGTTTTTTTAATGGGCTTTTATGGCCTGAAATGGGCTTAAATATATAAATATATATTTGTAAAGACACTTGCAGAGTAAAGAATGTTTTTCTATTCCACCTCCCGTGAAAGCTTGGTCCCTCACCCTGCAGGTTGGTCCTGGTGGTTGGGCTGGAGCTGGCATGAAGGCAGGGTGGGTTACCTGCCTCTCTCTCTGCAGCACTGGGCTCTGAGGCTTCAGGTCCTGTCCTGCTGCCTCCTCTAACCCAAAGATCCCTCCCACCCCAGCCTGGTTGGAGTTGAGCATTCCTTAGGGGAGGACTCAACATGGTTTTGCAGGGAAGCCTGTGCTGCATTCAGCCTCAGGAGTTTCATTTTCCCTGTATAACAAAGTGATTTGCAGAAGAGGGATAATTTCCATGAGGGCATGGAGTTTGGGACATTCTTGAGGTGGCTGATGGATGTGAATCATTCTGAAGAAAGGGGAGGTTAAAAAAATCTAGAGGAAGGTCAGTCCCCTGTGAGCAGAGTGGGGTGAGTGCATCCCTCCCAGGGACATCTGCATGTATTGGGCTGTCTCCTGCCACAGCTCCACAGTCCCTTGGGAAGCAGCCAGAGCCACACTGCACACACCAACCCAAGTGCCAGTGGTACAACCCTCAGCTGACATAGACAAGGTGTTCCCTGCTGGGGAGCAGCTCTTGGTGTGTTCTCCAGCTGCCTCAAGGTGGGTTTTTGCAGCATGACGTGATTTGGAGTGGAAATGATCTCTGCCCCATGAAGTTTGTGTGTTCAAGGCTGTGGGAAGAGCTGGAGAAATCCCTGTCAGTGAGGTGAGCTCCTGTGGGTGCTATCACAGGGTGCCAGGTGGGTCCAGCCACAGCCTTTGATCTCAGCACAGGAATTTCAGTGAGAAACCCTTGGAAGAAATTAATCTGATGGAGACAAGGACAAGGGCACTGAGAACTGTAGAGAGGGATGCACACAGCTCCACTGGAGCCATGCAGTGCCCGGTGAGGAACTGGAACGGCTGCTGGGGGAGTGAGGTGCTCATGCCCTGGCACATCCAGGTCCTTCCAGCCAGATAAGGCCATTCCTGCAGCCATCACTGCTCTCCACGCTCCTGGTAATTGCTGCTTCCTCCAGGATGAGGATGTGGAGAACCTGTCTGTGCTCTGGGTGCACCCTGCAAGCAGCAGATGGACCTGGCATTGCAGGAGGGAGTGATTTGGGGGTGGTGGGAATATGCTTAATCCCTAATGGCTCATCCTGTGCCTCACCTGACCTTGAGCTCTGTCCTTGCTTTGGAGCAGCATCTAAGTGCTGCTTGAAGAGCTGCTCTGTAGCAGGAGGCAAGCTTGGATTGTAAGCTTTGGTGGGGTTTGGGTCAGTTGTTGGCCTGGCTGGGGCTTAGTGTTGACTTGGGACTCGGCAAAGCTTGGCATTTTCTCCTGTGCTGGCCTGGCTCATCCTGGTGTCCTGCAGCCCCACCAGGCTGCAGCCAGACCTGTCAGCTTGGCAAAAGCTTCCAGTGAAAACATTTTTCCATTGAGAAACCCAAGAATTAGGCAAAGTTAAACAAAATGACTACCCCAAGTGCATTTCTGATTCATCTGCTGGCTTCTGTACATTCCTAGGCTGGGAGAGGCTGGATGCATCAACCCTGTGTCCTCCTGACCCTCAGCCCCTTCTTCAGCTTCAGTCTCAGCTTCCACCTTGATGTCTCAAACCAGATGACTTAGTTTAGTTTATTCCAGCTGTTTGGGTTTTGTTTTTTGTTTTTTTTTTTGCTTAGGAAGTTTTAGCTCAGCCTCTTCTGTCGTGTTACTGTCCCACAGTTTTGGACCTGATGAACTGGGTTCTCCATGAGAGGAAAACCCTCCAGGACCCAAGAACCTTCTGTGACTTGTGTCCATGTGGAATCAGATCACCGAATAGCAGCCAAACCTCCTGGCACGGGCTGCAAGGAGTCCCCCAGGCCAAGAGCGTGGGTGCTGAGATGAAATTCAGTTTGTAAGAGGAGGATTTATGTGGTGCTGCTCATGTCAGCCTGGAGATGCCAAGGAAACGGCTTGGACCTCTGTACTGATGTGGGAGAGCCCTGGAGAGGGGTTGGCACTCAGGTTCAGCCCTTGGAGCTGTCCAACAACTTCCAACAAGGATTTTCCATGTTCCGGTTTTTGAGCAGGTCCCAGCCTCACTTACCCTACCAAAGCCAACCACTCTAAGGATGAAGGTCAGAGAAGGTGACTCCAGGGTGATTGTGGTGCCTCAGCCTCTGGAATGGACTGGGAGAAGGCTGGAAGCCGAAGTCCTGGGTGCTGAGAGCATTTCTGCTGCAAAACCTGGACTAAAGCAAGTAGGAATCTCTTACAGGTTTGCTTGGGATAAGCTGGCAGTGCAGAATGCAAATCCAGTGCTGCAGCCAACATGTCACAGGTGGGTTGAAGCTTACCTGGTCCTAGGGCTGCTCAGCCACCTGCCCAGGCCCCCTGGGTCCCACCTCTGCCCAGGCAGCCTTGGTGCAGCACTGCTGAGGGCACATCTTGGTTCCCTAAGCCCCTTGGCCTTGGAGAATCCAGCTGTTCCCCCATCCCTCCCCTCAGCCGAATAGAGCAGAGCTGCTGGGACTTGATGTAGAACTGCCCTCCAAGCCTTGGGTTTGAGCCAGGAGTAACCCAGAGGCAGAGACACCTCTGGGGAAACCTCCCCTGTGAGGACAGGCTGAGAGAGTTGGGGCTGTTCAGCCT